ACCACACACACAGAGAACCTCACACTGAGAGAACCTCACACACAGAGGAACCTCACACACACAGAGGAACCTTACACTCTGAGAGAACCTCACACACAGAGGAATCTCACACAGAGGAACCTCACACACACAGAGGAACCTTACACTCTGAGAGAACCTCACACACACAGACGAACCTCACACACACTGAGAGAACTTCACACACACTGAGAGAACCTCACACACTGAGAGAACCTCACACAGAGAGAACCTCACACTGAGAGAACCTCACACACAGAGAACCTCACACTGAGAGAACCTCACACACAGAGAACCTCACACTGAGAGAACCTCACACACATAGAGAACCTCACACAGAGAGAACCTCACACTTAGAGAACCTCACACACAGAGGAACCTCACACACACAGAGGAACCTTACACTCTGAGAGAACCTCACACACAGAGGAATCTCACACAGAGGAACCTCACACACGCAGAGGAACCTTACACTCTGAGAGAACCTCACACACAGAGGAATCTCACACAGAGGAACCTCACACACGCAGAGGAACCTTACACTCTGAGAGAACCTCACACACAGAGGAATCTCACACAGAGGAACCTCACACACGCAGAGGAACCTTACACTCTGAGAGAACCTCACACACAGAGGAATCTCACACAGAGGAACCTCACACACGCAGAGGAACCTTACACTCTGAGAGAACCTCACACACAGAGGAATCTCACACAGAGGAACCTCACACACGCAGAGGAACCTTACACTCTGAGAGAACCTCACACACAGAGGAATCTCACACAGAGGAACCTCACACACGCAGAGGAACCTTACACTCTGAGAGAACCTCACACACAGAGGAATCTCACACAGAGGAACCTCACACACGCAGAGGAACCTTACACTCTGAGAGAACCTCACACACAGAGGAATCTCACACAGAGGAACCTCACACACGCAGAGGAACCTTACACTCTGAGAGAACCTCACACACAGAGGAATCTCACACAGAGGAACCTCACACACGCAGAGGAACCTTACACTCTGAGAGAACCTCACACACAGAGGAATCTCACACAGAGGAACCTCACACACGCAGAGGAACCTTACACTCTGAGAGAACCTCACACACAGAGGAATCTCACACAGAGGAACCTCACACACGCAGAGGAACCTTACACTCTGAGAGAACCTCACACACAGAGGAATCTCACACAGAGGAACCTCACACACGCAGAGGAACCTTACACTCTGAGAGAACCTCACACACAGAGGAATCTCACACAGAGGAACCTCACACACGCAGAGGAACCTTACACTCTGAGAGAACCTCACACACAGAGGAATCTCACACAGAGGAACCTCACACACGCAGAGGAACCTTACACTCTGAGAGAACCTCACACACAGAGGAATCTCACACAGAGGAACCTCACACACGCAGAGGAACCTTACACTCTGAGAGAACCTCACACACAGAGGAATCTCACACAGAGGAACCTCACACACGCAGAGGAACCTTACACTCTGAGAGAACCTCACACACAGAGGAATCTCACACAGAGGAACCTCACACACGCAGAGGAACCTTACACTCTGAGAGAACCTCACACACAGAGGGATCTCACACAGAGGAACCTCACACACACAGAGGAACCTTACACTCTGAGAGAACCTCACACACAGAGGAATCTCACACAGAGGAACCTCACACACACAGAGGAACCTTACACTCTGAGAGAACCTCACACACACAGACGAACCTCACACACACTGAGAGAACTTCACACACACTGAGAGAACCTCACACACAGAGGAATCTCACACAGAGGAACCTCACACACGCAGAGGAACCTTACACTCTGAGAGAACCTCACACACACAGACGAACCTCACACACACTGAGAGAACTTCACACACACTGAGAGAACCTCACACACAGAGGAATCTCACACAGAGGAACCTCACACACGCAGAGGAACCTTACACTCTGAGAGAACCTCACACACACAGACGAACCTCACACACACTGAGAGAACTTCACACACACTGAGAGAACCTCACACACAGAGGAATCTCACACAGAGGAACCTCACACACGCAGAGGAACCTTACACTCTGAGAGAACCTCACACACACAGACGAACCTCACACACACTGAGAGAACTTCACACACACTGAGAGAACCTCACACACAGAGGAATCTCACACAGAGGAACCTCACACACGCAGAGGAACCTTACACTCTGAGAGAACCTCACACACAGAGGGATCTCACACAGAGGAACCTCACACACACAGAGGAACCTTACACTCTGAGAGAATCTCACACACACAGAGGAACCTTACACACACAGAGGAACCTTACACTCTGAGAGAACCTCACACACACTGAGAAAACCTCACACACAGAGGAACCTCACACACAGAGGAACCTTACACTCTGAGAGAACCTCACACACACTGAGAGAACCTCACACACAGAGGAATCTCACACACACAGAGGAACCTTACACTCTGAGAGAACCTCACACACACTGAGAGAACCTTACACACACAGAGGAATCTCACACACACAGAGGAATCTTACACTCTGAGAGAACCTCACTGACAGATTCTGAGCAGCAGACTGACACAGGAACCTCCTCCTGTGGGGGTTGCACAGAAGCTGCGTTCACAGCAGTTTGTCACAAAGTGTGTGAGACAACTTGAGACGAGTGTTTAGAGACTGAGGAACCTCCACATTCACTCGGACGTCCTTCATCTGTCCACTGGGACAGACACAAATGTCTGTGATGTGTTCAGGTAAACATGTAAATCAGCCACTAGACAATAATCTGGTTCTCATGTTTCACATCAACCAGCTGCTTCTTAAACATTCGGAGGAAAACCCCGAGTCTCAGAAACGGCTGACAGACCGAAAAAAAACAAACAACTAAAGAAGCAAAGTTCACCAACATGATGGTGATGAATAAGACCATTACATCACTGCATCAGCATCACTACTATTACTGATACTACTGACTATAACTGATTATTGATGACACTGCAGAGGAACAACAACAGATATTCACTGTATTTACTCCACCAGTGTTAGAAATGTAGACTACTGCACAACAGAGTGTCGGTTCTCTGCTCTCATCCTCGTCTCTGGAAAGTTTTAACCAACAAAGTTAAATCCTGGTAAAAACAACGTGGGCTCTGTTCCTCAAACGCACCTCAGGACGAAGATGAGAAAAGAGCTGAAGAAGCTTGTGTTTCTTGATGCTGGTGACGTGACCAGTGATGCTCTCATTTGATGTCAAAAAGGTGATTTATTTATGGTGTGGGATCAGCTGATTAATCAATTAGTTTATACATATATCTATACTACAACTTAATCTGCAGCTATTCTTTTAATTGATTCACGGTGCCCGTCATTTTTCAGACAAACATTTGTTCTTTCGTGTCCTACATTAAGTCTAACACGTGTTTCTGGGTCGTCGGTTGGACAGAAGAAGAAGAGCTGACGTCACTTCAGGCTCTGAGAAACTGAGACCGACATTTTTCTTACAGTTGATCAGTGAGCTGAGAAAATGATCAACAGATCAATCACTAATGATGGCGTGTCTGTTGTTTGACATCATGTGGGTCTAATACAGACATGACGACAGAATGACTGAATATGAATATTGCTGCACATTTAATTGAAATATAATAGAAATATCAACGTGGCCAAGTGCAATATACAAATCACAGGAGCTGCAGTTTTTTTTTTTGATGAAGGTAAAATGTGTCACATTGTTGAGCGTTGTTAGCATTAGCATTGTTAGCACCATCAGTGTTGAGATGCCCCGACCTACAGACCAGTTTCTCCAGACGTAAACAAAAATCACATCCTCATCATTTTTACATTTTTTCCTGTGAAAATTAAAACGGAGAATAAAAGTAGAATAAAATGGAAACACTCCAGTAAAGTGCAAGTATCTGAAAACTGTACTTAAGTGAAGTAAATGCAGTTATTTTCCAGCACAGGTGGCATCTACTGTAACAACCAGTGGTGGAGGAAACGTTCATATCTTTTTAAATACTCAATTAAAAGTTAAAAGAAATAACTTTTTACAACTATATTCTACCATCATGATCATTTTACTACTTACGTTTGATTCACTGCACAATTAAACATTTGTAATGTAAATTAAAGACTTATTATAATCAGTGAAAATCAATCATCATGTGAAAGTAGCTGCCGCTCAGATGATGCTGATTTCCTCTGAGCAGCAGAGAAGAAGAAGAGATCAAAACTGTCAATTACAAGTGTCTTTAAACTAAACACACATACAGTATCAGAATAAATGTACCTAGTTACTTCCCACCGCTGATCAGAGATCAATACAATTAAAACTACAACTCCCAGAATCAATAATACACAGACCTCACACTGCAGCTGGTGATATGATGGTTACAGCAGATAGAACACAGTAACGGTACCAGCGGGAAATACTACGACCATCACACTTTCAGCAGCAGCGTCTCCACACACACACACACACGCACGCACACACACACACACGCACAGTTTCATACAGAAGATTCACGCTTACCTGTGTGTATTCTGCAGTCCTCAATCAGGTCCGCTGAATTGCAGAAGGGTCCTGTGTGTCCGGTGTCCGCCCGTCCTGTCGCAGCGACCGGAGCAGAGCCGCCGCTGTCAGTCCGCTGGACCTGCACAGGTCAAGCTCCCTGCATTTAACAGAGCGTACAGGAAGACACCGGAAGTGACCTTCAAAATAAAAATCAGGTCGCTTGTGAAAATCAAAATAAAAGTATGGGAAATGTAAAAAATAAATAAATAAATAAATAAAAGCATGTGGAACGTGAATAATCAAATCAACGAATCAACTATTTTCTGATACAATGACGTATCAAACACAGTAATTATGGAACATAAAAACACAAACCTTGACGTGGGGTCTGAAGATCAGGTCACAAACCAGTCCTGGAGGTTTTGGGCTCATTCAACCTTTGCAATCCCAAATCAATCCGTTAATCAATCGACCTATTATCAATCAGTGGAACACCTCACATTTGAAGTGAACTCGCAGCTTTAGGATGGGACACTGCTGCTGAAGTGCTCCTGAGCAAGTCTCAGGTCAAACGTTCATTCAGGACTGAACGTCCACATGAAAACTGAAGAAACACTTGAGACACAACAGGATGAAAACTTGCAGGTGAAGGCTTCATCATCGTTTCATTTCCTCTGGCTGGAGATGAAACGTCTGTTGTTATTGTTTCTAATCTGCTCTGCAACTTCCTGTGGCTTTTCGAAAATACTGAGCAGCAGCAGCTTCGTTCAGTGCAAACACATCGCACAGGAAACATTCACATTTTCTCTTGGAGCCAAGCAATTTAATGTGAGACACTGAGCTTATAAACTCAACTTGATTTTTTTTACTAATCACAATCTGCATGAGAGACTGGCGCTGAGTGTTTGTGTGAATTGATCCTTTAATCTGCTGCCCAGCCCTTTAACAGAGCAGCAGCGCCTCCCTGTGGCTGAACCACCACACTACACCCTGAACAAACGGAGTCTGTTCAGACTTTAACAGGAAAAATCTGTAGATCTGTGGAATTTGATTTTTTTTATTTGACTTATGTAAACTGGCCCTTGTGCAGAGTATGGACGATTGATTATTACCTGATACTCACCTGTGCAGGAGAAGGTGGTTTCTGGATTTGCTCAGAGAACCGAGAGCAACAGTTTTATGTTTGATCACGTCAAATCCTGTTTTGATTATTATTTTATTTTGAAAAGTCAACCAGAGTATATATGATAAACTCCGGTTTCAGTTACTGAAAATATTAAACATCTGCTCATGTTTGTAAGTGTAGTCTTCCCTGACCCTCTAACTTTTCATCTGGCGCCACCTTCAGGTCACATTTATATCTGCCCAGGTTTCTGTTTTACTGCTGTTCATGAACATCCTTACAGACGGTTGAGAACTGAACTGAGGTCTGTTTAAACCTCATGTCGCGTCTCTATTAACTGACTTGTTTTTGATGCAAGGAGGTGAAGTAAAAATTCATTTTTCTTTAATGTTGTTGACACTTAAAATCCTCATTAAGCCACTGATCCACTTTACCTCCACTTCAGTCACTGATTTCCTACATTTCCCACAATCCTCTTGGAAAACTCGGAGCTGTGAGTTGAAGTGTATGGAGAGTTAGAAAGTGCCGTTTGAATCCAGATGACGTTAATGACGTGGTAAATCTCCAACCTGCATTGCATTCTGGTCCATTTCCTGCTCCTGTGATGTCAGAGAAAGAAGCTTTGATCTTCGGTTGTGATCATTTAGTTTTTATTTAGTCGCCTGCAGCTGCTCTCAACATCTGGATACACGTCACAGAACTGAACAGGAGGCGACAACTTTCAGCAGATTTAAAATATTTTCACTTATTTTTAAATGAAAGAAATTTCTTTTTTACATTATTAACCTCCTGATTTTACTGGGATATAAATGTAAAGCTGGTTCCTCCGATGGAAACAAAGTTCAGGTTCCTGAGGTTCTAAAACGGTTCCTACAGTGGAACCAGACTATAAATGTACTTTTTTACATGATTTTAACTTGTTTGTAGAAAACCTCATTTACCAACACGATGTCTGAAATGTGATTTCAGTGACTGAACGACACGTTTAGATTTTTAAAGTGCAGACATTAATATTATTTCAACACAGCTGTCCCAGCTTTTATTTTGAAAGTGGATGGAGAGGTCTAAGAGAACAACGCCTCCGGGTCAAATCATCGGGATCACAGGGCGTCCCGGTCCCGTTTGTTTCATCTCATAGTCCCGGTCACAGCTGAAGGAATGAGGAGTCGGGGGTCGGGGGCCGTTCCACCAGCTACAGGTTTAATATCAGATCAACAACAGTAGAAAAACAGAGGCTACAGACAAAAAGAAGAGTAGGAAATCCAACAGCATCCAACAGGCTCTTTAAAATAATTCCTCTGTACAGTATTTACACACACACACACACACACACACACACACACACACACATACACAGAGTACAGTACAGCTACACACTGAGGGGGCGGGTGGGTGGGGTGGGGGTGGGGGGCGTTGACTCCCCGTCAGTCAGTCCGAGGCTGCAGCTTCAGTCCGAACGCTGCGCTGTGATTGGTCCGTCCTCCTCCGTCCACAGTGTTTTTTTTTTTTAATTTCAGGTGAAGCTGAGACGCGTCCAGGTGAGTCCACAGCTGGTTCTGGTCCTCGGAGAGGTCAGAGGTCACGCCGGTAAAGGCCGAATCAGAACCGTCTGACCCCCCCCCCCCCCCCCCCCCCCGAAACAACAACAGCTGCTTCTCTGTACGTCCCAGCAGCACCGATGGCCTGCAGCGCCTCAGTGTGTCTCCACCCACCAGGTCCACTCTGTCCTCCGTCTGAGCCAGAACCTCTGCACCGAGCACCAGTGGTACCTGTGGAACCAGCAGGACCAGCAGGACCAGCAGGACCAGCAGGACCAGCAGGACCAGCAGGACCAGGCCTTCGGTCCTCCGGTCCAGTCTGGCGAGGAGCAGAGCGGCCGGCTGAACGTCCAGGCAGAGAAATCAAACATACACAAACACCATTGAACTGATGTTGAAACAGAAACGTTTCCTCATGTGATCCAGTCACATGACTCCGGGCAGGGGGGAAGTCAGCCAATCAGGTGTGCCTGTAGGAGGTGAGAAGACATTATTGGTCAAAAGGGAGTCGACCTAGCTCCGCCTCAAAAACCACACCCACATGACCCCGAGGCCACAACAGGAAGTGGACCGGCGGCAGAGACCAGGACCGGGCTGGAGGGACACAGCTGGTCTCAGTGTCATGTTAGTTTAACATTACTGACACAGGTGAAGCTGAAGAACGTCTTTATTCAACGCGCTCACACACAGGACAGTGCTGGTCCAGGTGAGGCAGAACCCAGAACCAGGACCTTGCAGGTCCAGGGTCATGTTACAGGTCATTCAGGTTTTCATTCTTTTATTTTCATTAAGACATTTTGATCTCAGGTGAATCTGTTTGTGGATTAAAGAGAAAGATTTGAGCAGTTTAATATTTCCGCCTTCATAACCTGCAGCTTTTATTGTTACTCAGTGGCAGTTAATCTGCCGACGACATACAGACACATCATCATGACTAGGGATGGGAATCGATAAGGTTTTATTGAAACCAACGCCATTATTGATTCTGCTCATCGATCCGATCCTTTATCGATTCCTGCGGATGTTCTGTGTGGTAAGAAGTTAAGCCACACCTCCTCGACTCCTTCGTTGTGGTTACTGCCTCTACAAAACGTGACGTCATTGTTTTGTAAGGGGGAGGTTGAAGGCATCGATGAGGGAATCGTTAAGCATGAAGGCGGATGATGTCGATGGGTGGAACCAGTTGGAACCGGTTCTCGTTCCCATCCTCATCATGACGGTCTTCTTCTTCCTCATTTCTTTTTTTGGCAACTTTAACACCAGGAAACTCACTTCAACATACTTCCTGTCTGATGCTTTGTTTGTGTCTGACTTTGAATAAACTAAAAACAATGATTAACTCTGACCTTTGACCCCTGAGGGATCAGGTTTCTCTCTGCTGCAGTCACATCAACAAACATCCAGACCAGTAGATGGCGCTACAGACTGCAGCAGAGGAGTGTGTGTGTGTGTGAGTGTGTGAGTGTGTGTGTGTGTGTGTGTGTGTGTGTGTGTGTGTGTCTTACCGTTCTCACCTCCGTGCGGGGGGGTACATGGACGGGGCGGACGCTTGCTGACTGGCGACGATGGCTGAGGAGGAGAGGCCTGAGAGAGACACACACACATCAGACAGATCCAACATGGCCGACGGGTCAAAGTCTGATCAGTGTAGTGATCAAAACCAACCCACAATTCCTTTCCTCAAATCCCAGCAGACCTTTTAAATAATATGCAGGGGGGGGGGGCTGATGAGGAAAAACTACTGAGCTGCATTATGGGAAATGTAGGAACCGGTCTCAGGACATTTTTCTGCGGCATTTGACATTTTATTCTGATGTTTTAGATTTTCTGCAGCTGCTGGAAACATCTGGATGTGTCATCACACACCTGGACAGACAGGTGTGTGTGTGTGTGTGTGTGTGTGTGTGTCTCACCTGAGGCGTAGGACAGGTCGTACTGTCCCGACAGCAGTGGGAATCCCAGGTGATGGTGGGAGGGCAGGATACGTTGGGAGGGTGAGGATCGCGGCCGGTCGCCCTCTCTCTCTCTCTCTCTCTCCCGCTCTCTCTCTCTCTCCCGGTCGCGGTCGTGCGGGATCTTGCCGTCCTGGATGGACGGGGACTTGCTCTTGTACTGGCTGGCGTGCTGCTGCAGCAGGTCCAGAGCTTTGGCCTCACAGGGCGGCTTCACCGTCGGACTCGACCTGGAGGGTTTCTCCCCCTCCTCCCCCGCCGCCACCTTCCCCCCGTACGAGGTGAAGGAGTAACCGGCCGGCAGGTACGAGCCTGAGGACCAAGGTTTCAGTGTTTGAACACAGAGATTCACAGTGAGATGAAATTCCATTGAGTTTTATTTGTTTTTATTCCTTTATATATTCGAAGCTGTTTTACTGGTTTGTCTTTTTATTCTGATTATTTTCTGGATTTTTTTGTTTCCATCATCCTGCTTTTA